ACCCCCCGAACCGTTGAGGTCGCAGCGCCCAACCTGCGCACGTCACGCCCAGTGATAGCACCGGCGCCCGTCCGATCCTTTCTGGCATTCACCACTTTATCCACTTTTCCTTTGCTGTGCATATGCCGCGGTCATTGTCGCTGCAGTTGGTTCTTGCAACGACGTCTATCAGACCGGAACTGCACCTTTCGCTTCCACTTATCGCTTGTGCCGGCGACCGTGGCCCTGTTTCGTAGGTTGGAAATGGTCGATCCAGCTGCTGCGCCTCGTGCTCTACGCAATGCTGCTCTTGCCGGGGGGTAAAGTCAGGGACAGTTGACTTTCAGAGCAAGGGTGTGCGGGTGTGGAACGGGGGGGGAGATGGGGTTGATGACGACATGAAGTACGATAAAGATTGTGATGGCAAGGGCTCCTTCCCCCCCCCTCACCTCCCCCTCGCCCCTCCCCCTCCCCCTCCCCCTCACCTCATGGAACAGGTCCACCAGCTGGGCGTATGCGGAGTGGCTCCGGAAGTGCTTCTTCAGGATACGGTAGATGCAGCAGTCCAACAAAATGTAGTCGTTGCAGGCGATCATGCCAACCTGGGCCAGGGCAGGCCAGGGCAGGACGGGGCCACATACCGGCACGAGGGAACTGTGTGTTGCACCGCGACTACAGAAAAGTACCGATCGGCGGCGGATGTCAGATCCCGCGATGGTGACATCGCCCTACAGAATACAACAGGTGGAATACATACACACAGACACACACAGACAGAAACACACGGCAGCCACGCAAACCAAAACCTCCAAGGAAGGTAGGTTTCCTTCCTGTATAGCTAGCCACCGCCGGATACACATACCGACATACAGACGTGTACCATCAACCAGGGGATGCCTATCAACCAATCGACTCCCAATCGATCACCGCCGACAGCAATAGTCCGGTACGGTACGGTACGGTACGGCAGTCCGTCTGGGAATAAGCAGCATACATGCTGTCATGCCGCTCCCAAACCCTACACGCCGACTCGGACAGTCACGCAACCAGTCCCCGATGTTTGATGATGGAGCTGCACAGCGGCGCCCTTTTCCACCCACAAGCCGCCCTCCCTCCCCCCCCACATATACACACACATACAGACACACATACACCCTCACCTTAGGCACCTTGTACCAGCAGGGTTGGCCCCGCCGGGTGATGGAGCCGTCCATGATGTCATCCGCCACCAGGAAGAAGGCTTGCAGCTGCCGGGGCAGGGGGGGAAGGGAGGGAAAAAGGGGGGAGGAGGGGGTTACATTTGTACGACATTACTTAAAAACAGCATGCCCAGAACATCCAAAGAGCCCGGCCCACCTTCCTTCCAAGGCCAAGGAACGGATCCTACCTGTCACCCCTCCCATAAATAAATACATACATACATACAAACATGTACACAAAAACACACACACCTTGCTCTTCCTCCGTTCCTCCTCTTCATGCCTTCAGCCTATTGCCCGTGAAACCCACCCCCCGTATTTTGCACCTCCCCCTCCGCAACCCCAACTCCCCTTTCCCCCCGAACCCGCACATACATACATACGTACATACAAACATACATACCCACCCACTCAATGCACCAGCCCAGCGCATTGGCCTTGAAGATATCCTCCTCGGTAAGCTCCTGGGCATCATACATACATACGGACATACATTGGCCGGTGTTTATGCACTTCCGGATTGCGCAAATGCGTTTTCAAAGATAAATCTGCGCCATCTCTTCGCGCGTACAGACAGACAGACAGACACACATAGACATACACATCTACGTCGCCGCCGCATATAAGGCCCCCACTGCAATAAGCCATATCTTGGGCGCACCTCGACTCCCTTGATGGATGACAGCACGTCGTACACCGCCATGCCGCGATTGAGCTTGCCACCGGGCACGTTGTAGTCGTTGACCTATGCGTACGGCAGGGTACGGCAGGATGTACGGAACAAAGGGCACGACGCCGTGCAGATGTTTTTTGAGGATCTTGGGGCTTGGCCGGCTTCAATACGCTGGATATGAAAAGGTTGAGCGAGGTGAAGGCCGGGGTCGTGGAGGGTGTCCACACCACACCACATCATGCCGCACATTTTCAAATCGAACACACCAAACATTGGCGCCGATGGGTTTCGAATGTCCCTAGGGCCCTTGGGTGTACGGCGGGGAAAGAGTAAGCTGGAGGGGGTACGAAGGGGGTGTAAACACTTTGAGAAGGAACTATACTTAGCATTGCAGATGGATGTGTTGGCGTAGAGGAATGAAGTGGGGCGGGGAAGGGGGGGAGAATGCAAAGGGAGCGGGGACGACCCTAGGGCCCTAGGGTGTATGGCGCGTTGTTTCCCCTTCCCCTTCCTACACGGCGCTTTAAGGTGTTGTGTAATCGGCGCGAGTTGGGCTTCATTTGGAATTACTGCACCTACCTCTTTGAACCACTCCTGCGCGGCCTTCGCCTGGGCACTGTCATTGGCAGGTGACAAGCACTCGTCGTTTAGCAGCTCATCGCGCAGGACTTCGTAGACCTTGAGAAAGTCCTGCTCATTGCATGCGGCCCAAAAGGAAGCGTTCTCAATCCCCTCAACGACTTGCACTTTGTGCAGAGATTATTTACGAAGATCTTTGCAATACCTATCGCACTGCGTTATTGGATGGCCCGAGGCGACCAGTGTTCAGGTAGGTTGGCGCGCGATCAGTATGCATGCGTTTCACCCCACCTCGCGTGTGTGGGTGTACTCGACGCGAGCCTTTTTCATCGTCGGCTCAGCCATTGTATATAATAAGAGGTAATCACCAAGCAGAGTTGGAGGACTTCCCCCAGCGGGCTGCGCGAATGCAAGTCGACCAGCAACTGCAAGCTCAGGCCACAGGTGCCGGGTCCTCCTAAAGACAGGTGCTAGATATTGCATTAATATGTCGGTGCAAAGATGATGATGCTGGGCGAACGCGAGCCGTACATGGGTCTCAATTAATCAATCAGAAAAGCCTTCGGAATCCTCGGCTTCCAGGAGCAAGTCAAGAGGTAATCAAATACACATCTTATCTAAGTATAGCGTGGACAAATAGTGGTAACGTGGACGTCGACGTGCATTGTTCTGCACGGCGGTCGCATACCGGGAGTCCAGACCGGGTCAGGGGTTTCCTTCACGACTTGGGACTTAATTCCTCTTTCATAGGTTTTGCTTTCATGTAAGAATAATGTAGACATGCGCGTGCAACAGGTGTTCCTTTTCAAACCCTATCCTCCAAACCAGTCCCGGAGATGTTTGATCTCATTTCACGCTGCTTGAAAGAATGCCCGCCTGGAAATCCCAAGGCTGTGCACATTAATTACCGCGTTTTCCTCCAAACAGGGCCCTATGGGTCCGGGAGGCCTCGGGGGTCCCAAGCTGTGGGCTTAGCAGTGCTGACCGTCCACGGTGTCTAGCCGCCGTATTTCCTAGCCGCCGCATGCAGTGCGGACTGAAACTCCTCTTGCTAACCATATCCAACTTTCCTGGTGACCAATCGACGTGTGTGTGCGTTTGACGTGCGCGCGCTTCATTGAGAGGTTGGCGTGGTTGGTTGGTACGGCCCTGAATCCCGATCCAAATCCTGGTCAACTGTCTCTCTTTCTGTCGGCCATTCTTTCCCCGAACTTGACACGAAAGATGGCATTGGACAGCCGCGCAGGGAGCTGAAACAGCGCAGACGATTCCGAAGCTAATGGTCCGCTGCTCCAAAATCCCAAAGACCACCACGATCAGGAGTAAACTGCTGGCACCGTAAACTGACTTACACGCACCGTCCGTCTCCAGGGAGGTGCTATTAACAAGATACAACACGTCACAACATGGCACGACACGATGCGATTCGACATCAAAAGCAACGCGACCGGCCAAGAACGTAGCTCCCTGGCCCAGCTTTACAATTCTTCGAAGAATCCAGGTCATCGATCAACGACATAATAGGTTCGCCCGTTTGCTTGTCCCCTGAATTTACCCCTCCCGATGTCTGAGCTTATTTGTAGAGAGTATGTGTGCCGTACTGTGTACCGGCTACTACACGGGGCTTCGGCACAACTTTGCTGCAGTCGCCCCACCTCCGTCGCGGAGGCATAAGCAATTTTGCGCAAGTTTCCCACTTCCCAGCCGTTTGGCATGTGATGAAGTCGATGGGGGCCCCCTTGGGAAATGCCTGGGGTGATCCACCTTGGCCGAATCCATGATCCACATTGCAGCACTTGCTACCGCTAGTCTAGGCCGTTGAGCTGCCCGCGGATGTAGTATTCGCATGCCGTACTGCAGGCCCTCGGCATTGTTGGGTTAGTGGCTTGCACTGAAAGAAAGGATTTGGCTACCTGGAGCGCTAAAAGTCCATTTCTACAACCAGCGGCGATGGTGGGCAAGACGGGACCGAAAAGGGGGACGTACTGGAGTTGGGTATTTGGAAAATGTGAACCCCTACTACGAACTGTTTGTCTGAACGCAGCCGCCACCATCTGAGTTCAGCTGAGCGCAATCCTGCGCAAAGCGGAATTCATGAAGCGTAACTCTCGCTAGCCTGATGGAAAGTCTGATTGAGCCCTGATACTGGATACCGTCTAAACAGCACAGCATGGCACTATGAGTTCGGATGGACACCGTGAAGCGCCCAAGTCCGTGTTTGATAGGAGCTGCCTGGCCAGGGTTCAAGGCTGCAGCTCATGTGTTGTCCGAAAATGCGGAAATTTGCAGTTTACAGACCGTGATGAAACCAATGATATTCAAAGCTCCGGTGGTCAGTGAAGCAACGCTTGTGCACTTCAGCAATCCTGTGCGCGAGGCCTCTTCACTGACGCATAACCACCTCGGCGAAAGGTAACCATCAACATCGGACAAAGTTATCCAGGCTATTGATTGGATTTTGGAGCAATTTAATACTTGCATCGGAAGAACTGCACGCTAGCAGAGAAACTTTGCCGTTTTATGAGGCGTACGGCACAAGAGTGTGGTGCGAAGTCCTATGGTGATCCCTCCATGGAACGCTCGCCCATGATCAAATATGATTTGCTGTTGAAATTCGTTTCGTCTTACGGGCTGTAAATGAACTTGCAATTGGAGGCCTCTTGCGGGTTTTGTTGCTCGTTGTTCGCATAGACGTAAAGCATAATTGATCCGGCTACATGTTTTTCTGCTGAGCGAGGCGAAATGGGGCTTCCAAGGAGCTGGATAGGGAGGACAAGTACTTGACTGTATGAGGGCCTTTAGAGGCCCCACGGCCCTACTGGCCGCAGCGTTGCTTACATGTTGGGCGGCTTGGAATTTGATTGGTCCACCCCGAAGCATACATGGCACTGCTGAATGGCGTCCTAGCCAGCATTCAGAGTTCTGGGAACGGCCTTGGCAGCAACATAGGCGGAGCCAGCTGAGTCAGAAATATGAAAATGCGTCCTTGGATGACAGTCGGCAGCGAGACGCTCTGCTTGCGCTTTTCAATGCGACGCAAGGCTCAGCCTGGAGAGTGGCGAACATCTCCGCAACGGGGACTGTGTCTTGGGGAACCGAAGGCGTATCATATTGCAGGTGAATATAACTTTCAGCGCTAATGTGTGAGAAGCCATTCAATAGCTTCCGGGCTCCCAGGGCACTTGGGTTCATAAAGGTTTTGGACTCGCTTGAAGTGTATAAAATTTACGCATGAACGTTACGAAACTTCCACGCACGCCTTGCGTCTACGGTCCGGGCAACCGCTCGGCCGTAGATGCCCTGTGCGGGCGCAATGCGCAGCAACCCACGTCTCCTAACAACTGTTGACCAAGCCCTCCATCCCCTCCCTCCATCCCCTAACGCAGTACTTAACCCTCACGCGCCCCGCATCCCAAAGCCCTCCCTCAATGCCAGCCCTCCCATCTCGGCCACTCCGCTACCGTAGCCGTCCATCCATCGTCCGTAACACTCACCCGCCCTCCTCACACGCACCCGCACCCTCCCCCGACCCACATCAGGTGGTACGGGGTGATATGCTGTGATAGTTCCCCGCTGTTCCTGGTGAGCTGTGCGGGGGAACGCAGCGTCGCAATCCTCAGCCTGGACAGCTTCGGCCTGGCAGGCACGCTACCGGGCGCCCTAGGGGACCTATCAGAGCTCACAGTGCTGGCTCTCGGCGACAATCCGGGTCTGGTGGGACGGCTCCCGCAGTCGCTGGCGCAGCTGCCGCACCTGCTGTGGATGTCTGTGGAGGTGCGTGGATGGTGCGCAAGGAGTGAGATTGGAGACTGGAGGGATGGGGAGATGGATGGGTTATAATGGTTTTACTAGGAGGGAGTGTGGATAGGCGGGTGCGTGGCGGGAGGGTGGGTAGGCTGGTACGCGTAGATGGGTGAGTGGAGGATGGCTCGGTGGCTGGTAGGATGCGTTGAGGAGGTCTGAAAAGGCCGGCGTTAGTTGATTCATGGAGCGCCATCTGTGCATTTCCTGGGGGGACGGATAGGTCAGACAGACATGCAGACAGGCTTGCTTGAGCTTGGTAAGCGCGCTGGGGGGGGGAGTGAATACTGCTGCAACGCCGTCGGTGGAGGGCATGTGACGTGAGGAGCTAGGCGCTGGGGTGCATGGATGCTGGTTGGAAACGAGCCGTTCAAGTGAATGCCGGGATGGGATAGAACGAGCTAGGAGCGAGAACGGAGATGAACAACAGCAGCAGCGGCTCTAGCACCGACTGCGATGATGACTGATCATGGGTTGATGCACATACTGTTGGCTACTGTGTTTGAGTCTTGGAAAAAGACTACATGTATGTATGTATGTGTTGTTGTTGTTGTTCTTGCGGTAATGACTTTGGCCCGAGGACCCTGCTTTTCCGGCTGTTGTGCCCCACGGTAGGTTGTCTACGTGACGGGGGCTGTTAGCTGCAACTTGGCTTTTGTATGTATGTATGTATGTATGTTCCTCTTCCCCGGCACCCTGGGGGCGTTCAGATTTGCGTTTGGCGGCGTCTGGATTTGAACCGGGATTCCGTCCTTTTTGAAGTTCCCGCGGGCCCCACTGGCATTGCAGGACACTGGTCTAGTCGCGTGCGAGGAAGCCGAGTCCGTCGGGGGAGATGGCGGCAGCGGGGGCGGGGGCGGTGGAGGCGACCTCCCGGCGCCGGTGTCAGGTCCCTGCAGTCTGCCCTCTGGTCTCGTGTACAGCGAGCCGTACAGTCCGTACGGCGCCAGCGCTCTAACCTGCCCACTGGCAATCCTGTCCTCGTTCCTGTCTTACACATCCACCTTGTCGCCGGATGTATGGGGCATCGTCACGTCACCCTTTCCGCCACCGCCGATGCCAGGTGCGAGATGCGGGGGGGGGGAATGTTGTGCGGGCGCATTCACGCCACGGAATCACCGTTTCATTTTTCAGAGAGGGCGAGAGGGGGTGATACGCCCGTTAAAAGCCCGGGGTATCCCTGTCTAAATCTGACCGCTCCTCCTCCTTCCCTTGGTTCCGGAGGCGTTCATTCGCATGTGGGTCTGGTACGGGCGTTGTTCGGGCGGGGTGCTGTTTCTTTGACACCAACAACCGCGACATGGGACTCTGCGGGGAACACGGGGAAGTTGGAAAGTAAGGGTAATGGCATTATTTGGTGCGAAACACGCGTTCGGCCATATCGCACTGCCGCGGCAGTTCTGCAGTTTTTGAGACGGGGGGGTTGGTGTACGACGGAGAATGTTAATCACATCGGAGCTGAACTGCACGTGGAGCACCGCAGCAAGGAATCCAGAGCTGTTGCCGGAGTGGCTTTGCGCAGCGGCAGTAGCAGCAGCAGCAGCAGCAACAGGACCGTACGCAGTAGCAGGCGGGCTGCTGGCTGTAGCGACAGTAGCTTCAGCGGAGCGCTTACAATTCCACGACGGAAGCAGCAATTGCAGCAGCAGCAATGGAGCTGCTGCTGCGGCGGTGTCGGATGCGGGGAGCCGACAACAGGAGCTGCAGAGGTTTGTTCGGCATTCCCAACGGTGGTAGCAGCAGCAGCAGTTGCAGTTTAGTGCTCCAGTAGATGGGGGCGGCCACCGGCAGTAGCGGCGACGACGGTCGACGGTTAGCTGCACCCGCACGGCTGTAGTCAGCTCCGGGGGGACAAGAGCAACCGTCAGCTTGGGGGGCTCACGGTGGATTCCTTTGCCCCTCCTGCATGGGGGGCCCATGGGGGGTTTCCAGCCGGCATACACGGACAGTGCGACATGCCGCAGCTATAGTTATACTGCCGTACCGGTGTAAGGCCAGTACGATGAAAGCAAAGTCGGGGGAAGGGGCAGCTGTGCGGCTGTGTGAAAACCGACAGACAGACAGACAGGAGCACAGCTCCCGGCAGGTCGGCATGGACTTGTTTCCGCAGACTGGCAGGCAGGGTTTGGGCTGCAGCTGCGGGTAGTAGCAGTGGCAGCAGCAGTAGCAGTGGCAGCTGCGGGTAGTAGCAGTGGCAGCAGCAGTAGCAGCACTTACAAGCAATGGCAGTAGCAGTGGCAGCAGGAGCAAGAGCAGTGGCAGCAGTGGCAAGAGCAGTGGCAGCAGCAGTAGCAGTGGCAGCAGCAGTAGCAGCGCTTAACAAGCAATGGCAGTAGCAGTGGCAGCAAGAGCAAGAGCAAGAGCAGTGGCAAGAGCAGTGGCAGCAGCAGTAGCAGTGGCAGCAGCAGTAGCAGTGGCAGCAGGAGCAAGAGCAGTGGCAAGAGCAGTGGCAGCAGCAAGAGCAGTGGCAGCAGCAGTGGCAGCACTTAACAAGCAGTGGCAGCAGCAGTAGCAGCAGGAGCAAGAGCAAGAGCAGTGGCAAGAGCAGTGGCAGCAGCACTAGCAGTGGCAGCAGCAGTAGCAGCACTTACAAGCAATGGCAGTAGCAGTGGCAGCAGGAGCAAGAGCAGTGGCAGCAGTGGCAAGAGCAGTGGCAGCAGCAGCAGCAAGAGCAGTAGCAGCAGTGGCAGCAGTCGCCCTCCTTTCGGCCTCCGGCGTTTTCTACCCCATGCGCCCCCAAATAAAAACGCTTCTCGTCCTCTTGTCGTTACAGAGGGTTTTCTGAATCACCACTCCCTCGGCATCACAAAATGCAGAATGCTTCAGAGGGCCCTTGTCCCCGGGCCATCACCATCACTCCCACGACCCTTCCCCCTTCCGGGCTCCCCCTCCTCCTCCGCCTCTTCCTCTTCCCCCCCAAAACAAGTTCTACTTCTTGTACACTCTTTCCTTTGCAGCAGCTTCACTCGTTCACGTGGTTCATCTTTCCCCCCCAAAACACACACGCTCCTGCCACCGCTGCCCGCAGGTGCCGTCATTGCCGGACCCAACTTCACACGCTTTCACAATTGCACCTGTCGCGGCTACCCCTCTGGCTCCCAGTTGCTGGTGTCGGACAGCGGACCCACCGCGGGCGCTCAGTGTACGGCACCCGCAGGCTCATCACGCCGCGACACAGGCCTGGTGATTGGGATTGTTATTGCGTGTGTTCTCCCGTGGCTGCTGGTAGCCGGCGGCGTCTACGTGTGCGTCGTGTGAGTCTGCGGGTTTGGCGGCGCTGGGGGAGGGGGGGAAATGGGGCCGGGAGGAGGGGGAAAAGACGAACCACGAGCGAGTGAAGCTGATGGAGGAAGGGGGGGAGGGGAGAGGACGGGGGCTGGCAGGGCAATGGGGGAGAGGGGGAAACGGCACGGCAAAACACAGCTTTCCACGTCCTCCGACATTGATTGTTGCTCCCTGAACTCGTCCTTGGGGTTTTAGTTTTCCTAGGACTTTTTTTTGCATGTAACTTCCTTTCCTCACGCATCTTGCAAGTGATTCCTCTCCCCACCACCACTCAGGGCGACAGCAGTTTATTCCTTGTTCCTGGCTGATGATTTCCCTCATCCTCCTCTTCCTCCCTCTCCCCTTCCCAACCCCTTCTCCCTTTTCGCATTGCTCTTCCCCCGCCCCACACCCACACCCCGTACCCACACCCGCACCCAGCCACAAGGCCACTCTGAATCGACTGGCCCGCCGAAAGGAGGCGGAAATGGCGCGCAAGCGCTCCAAAGTACCGGGCACCCCGGGCGTCGCGCTGCAAAACGGCCGCGGCCTGCTGTCTCTCTCCGACGTGATGGTGACGTGG